TTGGGGGAGGGGTATTTGAGCCCCATTCCATATAATGATTCTGGTCCATTGTAGCTACTATAGCCAAAGAAATGAACAAGTAGCTTTTTTTTTTTTTTCCAAAGAATCTAGAGAACAGGTCAAGTTTGGTGACTCACACCTGTAATCCCAGCACTTTGGGAGGCCAAGGTGGGAAGATTGCTTGAGCCCAGGAGTTCAAGACAACCCTGGGCAACATAATGAAGCCCCGTCTCTATAAAAAATACAAAAATTATCCAGGCGTGGTGGCACATGCATTTAGTCCCAGCTACTTAGGAGGCCGAGGTAAGAGGACTGCTTAAGCCCAGGAGGTTGAGGCTGCAGTGAGCCATGACTGTGCCACCACACTCAAACGTAGGAGATGGAGTGAGGCCCTGTCTCAAAAAAAAAAAAAAAAAGATTTAAAACGGTATACCTGTCTAGGGTACTTTACCATGAATCAAGCTTGCAGGACTGGAAGTTGCCCTAGATGAGTCTGAGTGAGAGGTGAGTGAATGTGAAGGCCTAGGACATTACTTTATACTACTGTAGACTTTATCAACACTGTACATTTAGGCTACCCTAAGTTTATTTTTAAATATATTTTTCTTTTTTCAATAATAAATTAACAGCTTACTGTAACTTTGTTATTTTATAAACTTTTAAATTTTTTTGACTTTTGTAATAACACAGTTTAAATGCAAATGCATTCTACAGCTATATAGAAATATTTTATTTCTTTATAGCCTTATTCTGGAACCTTTTTTCTATTAAAATATATTTATATATTTTTTAACTTTTCCAACTTTTTTTTTTTTTTCCCAAGACAGAGTCTCACTGTTTTGCCCAGCCTGGAGTATAGTGGCTCGATCTTGGCTCACTGCAACCTCCACCTATCGGGTTCAAGCAATTCTCCTACCTCAGCCTCCCACGTAGCTGGGATTACAGGTGCGCACCACCACACCCAGCTAAGTTTTGTGCTTTTAGTAGAGGTGAGGTTTCACCATGTTGGCCAGGCTGGTCTTGAACTCCTGACCTCAAGTGATCCTCCAGCCTCGAACTCCCAGGGTGCTGGGATTACAGGTATGAGCCACCATGCCTGGCCAGAGCTGTCATCTCTTATGATAACAATGCCTTCTTCAGGAATACCTCCTGAAGGACCTGTCTGAGCTGATTTTACTGTTAACTTTTTATTTTATAAGCAGAAGGAGTATGCTCTAAAATAATGATTTAAAGTATAGTGTAGTAAATACATAAACCAGTAGCACAGTCATTTATTATCTTGTCAAGCATTATGCACTGTACGTAACTGCATGTGTTATACCTTTATGTGACCGGCAGCACAGCAGGTTTGTTTAACCAGCATCACTACAAACACGTGAGCAATGTGTTGCATATGACATTATGACAGCTATGATATCACCAGGTGATAGGAATTTTTCAGCTCCATTATAATCTCATGGGACCACTATTGTATATGTGGTCCATCATTGACCAAAACATCATTATAAGGCACATGACTATACATATATGTGTATTATAATATGTATATTCTATGTGTGTACACATTTTAGAGTAAATTGTAGGTATCATACCCAGTTACTTCTAAATATTCTTGTGCTAGTTTTGTAAGAAAAAGGACATTCTCTTACATAACGACAGTACAGTTCTCAAAGTCAAGAAATTTAATATTGATATACTATTATCTAATCTATAGTCCATATTTAAATTTAATCAATTATCCCAGTAATGTATTTATAGCTAGTTTTTTCCAGTCAGGGATGAAATCCAGGATTCTGTCTCTTTAATCCCCTTTAATTTAGAACAGTTCCTAATACTTCCTTTGTGTTTTATCACCTTGACATTTTCGAAGAGTACTAGCCAGTTATTTTGTAGAACAGTTCTTACTGTGAGTTTGTCTGGTGTTTCCTCATGATGTATTTTTGACAAAAACAACATGAAATTGATGTGGACTCCTTCCCAGTGTATACGATTAGGAAGTGTATGATGTTGGTTTGTCCTGATATTGGTGTTATTTCTATCTGATGACTTGCTTAAGGTGGTATCTGTTGGATTTATCCAGTAAAGCTACCAATTTTTCCTTTGTATAAGTAATAATGTGAAATTTTACTTTGAGACCATGTAAATATCCTGGTCCTTATCAAACTTTTACTGAGTGGCTTTAACATCTATTGATTATTTCCTAACTGCATCATTCCTATTATATTTAGTAGATGGCATCCTACTGTAAGGAAGTGCTTTTCTTTCACCCTTGCTTGTTGGTTGGTTGTTTATATTAATACGAATTTATGGATATTTATTGTTTTCAGTGGTTTCCAATCCATTACTAGTCATCATTTATTTTAATCCCAAATTGTCCTAGATTTGGCCATCAAGTTCTTTAAGTTGACTCCTGTATGCTTTTGACATGGCTCCATAATTCTTAGAACATGTCCTTATTTCCTGGTGCCACAATGTTTTTCAGTACTTTTGTTTCACCAGTTTTTAGATGACTGTTAATGTCTCTTTGTGTGTTGTATAAGAAAAAAATAATGTACATATGACCCAACTACTTTGGACAGAAATCCATTTTTAAATAGACTGGGCATATCTTGTACTTTAGTTGAAACCATTATAGTGGTGACAAAAATAATAATCTTAAAGGTTATTTTTTGTGTGTTCAAAAGAAAGAATTATTTCTTTCAGGATGGTGGTCAGTTGAAACAACAACAACAAAAGAGAACTTAAGATCGGGAAACCTGGGTTTGAGTCCCCAGTCCAATTGAATAGCTATTTTAGAGAAATCTACACAAAGTTTTCTCATTGACAAAATGGAGCTGTGAAGGTTCTGTTTGGCAACATATGATAAAGCATTATCAAATAGATAGTATTTCCTCTGCCCAGCATGCCATAACAGGTTTCAGGCTAGGTATAGTGTTTTTGATTATGTGGATAACTATCTTAAAATCCTTCTGAATGTAGTCGAGGATGGTCATAAAGGTATCTGAAATAAAAGTTAGGAGCCATGCAAAAAAACCAGGTCAGTTATCTCCTATATTAGAAATGACAAGCACAACCTGAATTTGTGCTTGTTCAACTGCTTTCCAAAATAAAACATTTTTTTGATAGTTTGAAATTGGGTATATAAAGAATATGCAATTGAAATAACTCAGATTTTGGGTGTTTTTGTTTTTGTTTGTGAGATGGAATCCCTGTCACCCAGGCTGGAGTGCAGTGGTGCAATCTTGGCTCTCCCTGCAGTCTCCGCCTCCCAGGTTCAAGCGATTCTCCCGCCTCAGGCTCCCAAGCAGCTGGGACTACAGGTGCACACCATGACGCCCAGCTAATTTTTGCATTTTTATTAGAGACAGGGTTTCACCATGTTGATCAGGCTGGTCTCGAACTCCTGGCCTCAAGTAGTCTGCCCACCTCAGCTTCCCAAAGTGCTGAGATTATAGGCATGAGCCACCACACCCAGCCAAAATATGAATTTTTTGGATAGTCTTGAAATTTGTATCTTATTTATCTAGTCAGTTTTAAACAGATTAACTTGTTTGTTAAATTTCCATTTTATTTTGCATTGGATTAAAAACAAGATTATTATAAATATTTTTGGGATGCTTTACAATTTTCAAAGCACTTTCACATGCATTCTCTTATTTAATATTCACAGCAATCCTGTGACTTACATAGAGCAAAATTAGTATCCTCATTTTATAGAGGAGGAAACTGAACCTCAGAAGTGTAAGGTCACATTCTGTGTAACGGATGGCGCAGGAACTGTGAGTTGGTGGCTATTGTCTCCAGCACTGGAGACAAACCTAGCACATCATAACACCCAGTAAATATGTGTTGGATGGATAGATGGAACTCAAAAGCAGGTCTTCTGATTCCAGAATTTCAGGTCATAGGACATAAAATAAAATTCGAATCAACTCATAATGTTGAGTGATGCTGGTAAACAAGCCTTACCTGGCAGCCAGGAATAATCTGCAAACGTAAGAAGTCGAAAGATGCTCAGCATTGCTCATGTTTAAATACAGACCAATCAAAACAAGGACATGCCATTTTTACCTATCAGATTTAGCAAAGATAACAAAATGGGCTATTCTGGGAACTAGGGAAGATGTGGGAAACAGACACACACCGGTGTGCCGCATGCAAACTCTTGCCACCCATTTGGAGTATGTGTTGCTGTCTTTCGATCTTTCAGATGCATGTAACCCTTTCCCTAACAAGTTCACCTTTAAAAACTGGTGCTACCGACTCCCATATGTACTCAAAGATAGATGCATAAGAATTTTCACATGCACGTTATTTGCAGTAATAAACAACCAAAAACCATTTAAATGTTAACGAACAGACTGTTTAACGATAGTGTAGAATATTGACAGGATGGAAAACTATGCAGCCATTAAAAGGAACAAGGCAAGTCGGTGTGTGCTGATATGGAAAATCTCCAAGATGTATTGATAACCGTAAAAAGCAAGATATCAAAAAGCCAAAGAAAAACCTATACTGACCTGTGTTTGCCTACGCATAGACTGTCTCTGGTTAGATTCAGAACACACTGTTAACAATTGTTGACTGGCCAAGGGGATTGGGGCAGGAGAGACTTTACGCGGGGAACCTTTGGATACTGTTTCACTTTATAATTAATAGATAATTCGAGAAGATATATCAAGGCCCATTTCTTGAAGGCCGGAGCGCTTCTAACCTCAGAGCCTGCCTCAGCCTCTGGCTCCCACCCCCGCAGCCGCCCCTTCGCGTCTGAGCAGGCCGGGGCCCCACTCACCCTTCCCGGCCGCAGACAGAGTGCGGGCGCCTGGGAGAGCCCCGCCGCGGGCAGCTCCGCAGCAGGAGGCCCCGCAGCCGCTGCGCGCCGGGACGGAGCATGACTAGGCAGAGGCCGAGGCCGAAGGCGCGGGCGCCTGCTCCAAGGCCAGCGGGCAGCCTGAGGCCGCGGGGCTGGCGGGGCGGCGGTCGGACCCTCCCCCGGGCGGGGGGCGGACTCCTGGACTGCCGCGCGCCCGGGAACCTGGCGCCCGCAGAGCCGCGGCACCATGGCACCTGCCGGACGCCCGGGGGCCAAGAAGGTGAGTTTCCTCCCCTTGGTCCTCGCGGAGCCCCTGGCCGCTGTGAGCGACTCCCTTCACACTCCGCGTGGATCCCTAGCCAAGCCCTGGGGCCTCGGCAAAACACTTGGACGGGACGGCCCTGAGCCTCGATTTTCCCCAGTCACAGGTTGATTAGCGTTTAGGGAGGCCTTACTCGGTGCCCGGCGCTGCACAGAGTGCTGTGCTCAAGTTATCTCCTCATCTTGACAATTATCCCCATTTCACAGGTGAGGAAACTGAGGTTCAGCGAGTCAGGCGACTAGCTCAGGGTCACGAGTCCAGCCCCGCGGGGAGCGAGGATCGGAAGTCTAGCTTTCGGACTCAGGTCACGCGCACGTTTTCTTCCCTCAACCGACCGCACCCGCAGCTCTTTGGGCTAATCCGCCCCAGAACCCTTCGGACTGTCCCTCGCGTTTTGGAAAAGTCACCACCCTGGCCTTGCGAGTCGCTGGCTGGCCTGAAACCAGTCCTGGATAAGGACGCCCCCAGAGCTGCGGCGCAGGATGGAGGGTGGGTGGGATTCGCTAGGACCCCTCCACCTCCTCCCACCCGGTGGTCCCCAGCTCCTGGCCCCTTTCCCGGTCTGGTCACCAGATGTTGGTTTTATGCCCAGCCATTTCTTTGTCGGGTATGTGTGGGGGTGGGAGGAAGGGGTGACTAAGCAAAATTAGGAAGGGCATGAGCTTGGACGAAAAACATCCCCAGGACCATTCAAAGAGACCCCCACCCGCGCCAGCCCTGTCATTCAGAGTGGGAGGAGGGGAGGAGGAGCAGTGTATGCGTGGAAATGTGTATCACCGAGCTATTTATACTAAAAAGTTAGGAACAACCAAGATACTCTGCAATAGGGGATTCTAAATAAATTAAGGGTCATCTACTTAAGGTATTAGGCAATTAAATAACTTAGTATGAGAACCAGCAAAGTGCTTTGGCAATGTTAAGTTGCAAAAGGAAATATATCACAAACTGATCCCAATCGTATACAAATATTTATATACACACTGTAAGGAAGGACACATTAATGGTAATAGTTACACAAGATGTGGAATATTGGTTTAAAAAGCATGTTTTAGGATATTTTTTCAGATTATAAAAGTAAAATATGAGCATTGAAAGAAATAGTTAATAAAAAATAATCAAAGAACATTGCACTGACTTTTTTCTCTCAACTTTCTCTAATGCTATGTTCATCTTTACAGTTCATTTTTTTTTAACGTTTTTAAAATGCCCTATTTTTGTTCAATTTCTTTGGGGCCTCTGCTGTTACAGCACCAACATTATCACACACTAATCCATGTGAATGTGTACCTGGGAGTTAAGGGGTTAATGGGAAGGAACTAATCTCACCTCTCTCCTCAGCTAGCAGGTACATTTTAAGAATTCATTTAATTGCTACAGACAAGACCTCCAATTAGGTCTTTAATCCAAAAGAGCAGCTCCGCTGGCAATTCTAGGAAGAGGGGGAGATATTTTAGATAGATTGGGTTTTTCTGGTCACCTCCTACTACACAGTGAAGTTGATCCCCACTGAGTATGAATAGAGATGTCTTGAAGCCAGATCTTAAGCCCAGAGGTCTTACGTAGTGATATCTGCAAAAAGGGGGCATAAATGCACCCTAGAACTCGCTGTCAGACGCAAGGCAGGTTCACTGCCAAACTGATGGGGAGGATGGGATGAAAATATAAATGTACTGCAAAATTAATTTACAGTATTCCTTATTTTACATATTCCTGTCTTTATAATTATAGAGCTGACATTAGATAATGCTAGTATAATGGTGAGGAACAACACACACTGGGGCCTATTGAAGGGTGGAGGGTGGCAGGAGGGAGAGGATCAGGAAAAATAACTAATGGATACTAGGCTTAATACCTGGGTGAGGAAATAACCCATATAGCAAACCTCCAATGACGCATGTTTACCTATGTCACAAACCTGCACATCCTGCACATGTACCCCTGAACTTAAAAGTTAAAAAAAAAATCTAAAGAAGAGATCATATTGGTACAGTAATTAATTGAGGTAGTTAGAATAGCAGTGAAGGAAGGGCTAAAAGATGCTCTGAATTCAAATCTTGATAACTTAGTTATTTTGCTAATGGATATGTAGAAAAATGGCCAATTGACCAGGCACAGTGGCTCACACCTGTAATCCCAGCACTTTGGGAGGCTGAGGCAGGCGGATCATCTAAGGTCAGGAGTTCGAGACCAGCCTGGACAACATGGTGAAACCTCGTCTCTACTAAAAAATACAAAATTAGCTGGGCATGGTGGCAGGTGCCTATAATCCCAGCTACTTGCAAGGCTGAGGCAGGAGAATTGCTTGAACCCTGGAGGTGGAAGTTGCAGTGAGCTGA